ATATTCCTCCCTAAAATAAAATGTTTGTTTTATTATGTATTAGCTACTAATGTTCATTTAGGTAATGATGTCACTTGTTTTCTGATGCTTGTGATTTTATTGAATTAAAACTTTGAGCATAACAAAGTCTTCATATTGTATTTATTCTTTCAGAAAGATATAGACTTCGAGGGAGTGTCAGTTGGCGCTGTTTTATCCGATTACCAAAGAGTCAGAGTTGAGAGTGTGTAGGTATAGCATTATTATTAGCCATACATATGTCAGTTTTTGACTCCCACATGCTGAAGGCACAAGGTATTCTGTTTATGTATGCCAGACCTGATTATTATTTACTGAATTTGCCTATATGACAACTGTTCCACTGAATTTGGGAACTGCGCAACAAATTTTCAAAAAGCTTGGTACATACATTTATAGTGCTAAGAAAATTTTAGGTTGGTGTTCTTTTTATTCTTCCTTGATATACCGTATTTCAAAAAGTTAATATCTTTTAATGAAATTATACAAAGGTGCTTTGAGATGAACCTCAGTTTGGGGTTGAAATGTGTATAAATTATAATTACCTATTTCAGTTCAAAATCACTGTATATTAACTTACCTAATAATAAATTACAAAATTGTATTTCATAAACTCCATATAAATTTGAAATATGGTTACAGGTATGTGGGTAAAATCCACAGTTCTATATTAATTACCAAATTTGCATACTAATTTTGAGATCTATCTAGGTATATATATTTTAAAATACTTTGATGAATTTTATTACAGACTTGGAGGTAAAATTAATATAGTGCTTAATAAGCGTAATCATCTTTGTGGCAGTATATGCACATAAATTTTCATAAATTGAGAAATATGTTTGATTTCATTGCCTTACATAATGATCTCATTTGCATACTTGGTCGAAACAATGTTTTATTTTGTTTCTGAAGGATTTTCCCCAGAGCCTAAGGCCAAGAAACAAACAAATCTGAATAATTTGTTATCCAATATTACTACGCGCAGACAGTGAAATGAAACATGAAAATTTTTTTACGGTCCAAATCTTAATTCACTGTATTTACCAGCACATGTGCTTTCATGATGGACAAAATGAGTCATAATGCTCCAGTATATATCGGTAATAAATGTAATGTTTTTGTTTATGCACGCTTTTTTCAAGTTGTTCTTCTAAAAGAACTCAATTAAGAAATGATCTTTTCTGAACATAAACTCATATTCAGTCAATATTACATCATCGTGTAGTCACTAACAAATCCTCTTTAAACTAATATAACAATGTTTTACTATTTCAGATGTAGTAGACTGGGTTTAACTGCAGTGTCATATCTATGGAGAAGAAATCAACAGGAGTTATTATTGGAAATGATAGCATGCAATGTCAAAGCCATAATCATCAAGGTGGCTGCTCTAGGTAAGGGGTAAGGGAGCTTCTTAGCAGAATCCAATATTTATTTTATCAATGGGCATAGCCACTATCAGATCTGATAAAAAAGTACACAGCATGACCAACATTACAAAAACAAACAATAATTAGTAGTATGTATAAAATTAAAAATTACTATTAAAATGCTTATAAATAAAAATTTCATATCAAATTTACTGAAAATATTTTTAGTTTTTTTAGCTTGAGTTTTTGCTAATATTGTTCCAGAACCTAATTTCAAAAGTCCTCTATGTCTAAGACCTGGCAGGTAAAAAAAAAAAAAAAGATCTTATTTAAAATAGCAGGACAGTCGTAATGAAAATTATTAATTTTGTACAAAGCACAGTTTGTCTGTCAAATAATTTGCAATTTGTTTGTGGAAGTTTAAAACAGTTGTTTTATTTGTTATATGTGTAGGATTGGAGCCGTCAAAACACCTGGGTAAAACACTTGAAGAAATCTATCCTCATATGTGTGATATGGTAAGAATGCATTACTGCCTAGTTGCAATAACTACTTGTATCATTATCTCTATTAGTCGCTCACCTTCAATAGAAAAAAAAAATCACATTGAATCATTTATGCCAACCTTTTTACATGTACCACTTTTGTTAAAATATCTGTGCTCTGTGTAAATATGCTATTTATAGATAGTATCGTAATACTGTGAAATTATTAATTTTGATAATTGGTCATTTCACTAGGTTTTTAATTCACTGATTCACCATGGAAACGTAAAGTATATATGAATATATGATGAAAATAGCGAAACTCTAAACCAATCGAGTATTGTTACAGTATATTGGAAAACACATCCAATTAATGTTACTTTATTTATTTTTTCCTTTAACTCATTTTTCTCTGTCAAATCCAAAGCTACATTTGGTATCTCTTACCAGATAGCAACAGTTGATGTAGTTAAGAACTTTATAGATACATTTTTTTTTTAACTGTACAATCTATTTTTCAGTTCAAAATATTAAGATGATTGAGTATTTTGTGAGACAACTTTAACAAATGTAATTGTAATTCTGGAAATACCACATTATCCGTATTGCATCATACTTTGTACTGACAGACTATTGTACATTTAGACTTAAGTAACACATGTTATACACTGGTTTCCCTATGCTTGAGGTACCGGCAACGGGATATGTCAGCTTTTATTGGCAGTTTCGTGCAGAGTATGTCATCTGTCTTTTGTTCTCATTTTTTTATATTCAGCGTACCAGCTGCTGGTATAATTATGTGTAATATTTTTTATTATTCATAGAAGTTAAAATATGGATTAAATGTGTGTGGCGAGGGAGGCGAATATGAAACATTCACACTGGATTGTCCACTGTTCAACAAAAAAATTGTTGTGTGAGTACAGCATTTTTAATGACGTTGAAAATTGATTATAAACATAAATGTAAGCTAATTAGATGCTAATTATATGCATATCTTATTGGTAAACATGATTATGATGACAATAAAAAAAGCAGCTTCCAATGCTATTGTCTCTTTTCAATATAAGGATGTGTGACCCCTAAAGGTCACACATCCTGGTACTATGAATGACCCCTAAATGTCGCACATCCTGGTACTATGAATGACCCCTAAAGGTCACACATCCTGGCACTTTTTAGTGGTGTAGTAATCCTGCATAATTATATTATTATACATCTGGCTGTGAAAACAATTGGATTTAACTGCTCATAAAACCACTATAACTGATCGATTTACATCAGATACAATGATGTAGATGAAAATAGAATCACATTGTTAATTGCTTGGCATTCCTGGCTAAAAGGGAAATGTATTACTGGTATAATAAGGTATCAAAAGAAAGCCCAAATGTGCTTTGGCAGTTTGGAATGGCATTGCATTGGTCGATACAACCACCATACTGTCATT